GTCCGATGGTGGGAGGTGTTGGAGAGGTGATGGGGAGGCTGTTTTTGTGAGTACGTCAATGGTGGTGGGAGGGGGGGGGGGGGGGGGGCAGGAGGGAAGCTGGAGGCGGGTGGCTGACCGCGCCACTGACCGCGCCAGGGTGCGAGGCGGTGAGGAGGTGTGGAGGCGGGAAATGGCGGAGTGGCTCGGGGACAGTGCCAAGGCAGAGGGTGCTTCACGGAGGATAAAAGGAGGAGGAGGTGGAGGAGGAGGAGGAGAGGGCGGCGGTGCGCACTCGGCGTTGCGGGCGTGCATCGCGATGGTCTTCAGGTCGAGGGCGATGCCGAGGTTGCACGTGGCGACGATGTTCCTGCGCGGGCGGCGGCCGGCCGCGTGAGGTGCGGGGACGACTTTGCAAATGCCACCGCCGGCCTCTGCGCCGAGCAGTGACTGTGGCGTTCCGTGGCGCGCGATGCGGCGGCGGTGAAGGCAGGCGGACAGCGTGACCCGCTGGGAGCGCCGCGAAGACAACGCTCTGTGGGCGAGCGGAGAGGCGGCGGCGCGGCGCACTGGAGGATTGGTCTGATGCCGGAGAGGCTGGTGGGCGGCTGGTCGGTGGGCTGGTCGGCAGGCTCGGTGGCCGTGTCGGTCGGCACCAGCGCGGTGGTGGACGACGATGCGCCAGCAGACGTCCCAGCGAGCATGGCCTGCCAACAAAGCGAGCGAGGGAGAAAACCGACGTGTCTAGCCCCACCAGGGCTAGGGCTCTCTAGCCCGTAACCCGATACCGATCATCCGGCTCGCTGGGTGCGCTTCTTAGCTCCCCGGCCCTGGATGCGAGGTTGATAACTGCACTCCAAGTGCTCCAAGTACGTGACGCGCCTGCCCCTCTCCCGCGCGCATGTCGACCGGTTTCGTTGTGTGTGTGTGTGTGTGTGTGTGTGTGTGTGTGTGTGTGTGGGCGCGAGAATAGCTCCGCCGTTCATGGAGGCAACCGATGCGAGTCGACTGGTGTGTGGAGGGGGGGGAATCAAGAAGCTCACACCGGTTTCGTTCTGGATCGCCGTGGGGCTGGCAGTTCCAGCCTGCTGCGGGAACATACATCTGACGCAGTCTCGCCCCCAGCAGGGTTGACTCGGCCAGACAAAACCCCGAGAGACGCCCAGATCCGCGAATCAAAAGTTGTGGTCCGGCACGATAACCTGGGCAACCATTCGCTGCGACGAGTAAAAGTACGTACCAATAGCATGATTCATTATCGCGATTAGCCTAGATCCCAAAACTGGCGAAAACTCGCTAAAGCTCTGTAAATGCTGACTGAAAAAGAGCGTGCTCCAAGTGCACCCCAGGCCGCCATCAGTCAAGCAAAGGATGCGTGCGTTAAACCTACGTACTTCGAGCTCTCTCTCGCGTTGAACGAATGAACCGATAACGGCGACACATAGTGGGGGACACTGCGCAAGGAGGGGGTGCGAAGCCTAAGATTGGGGTTCTAGGTGGTGGGACCATGAGGGGGGGAGGGCGGGGTCCTGTGGGGGTGAAATGTTGCGCGGCGAATTCGAACCTACCCCCTCGCCGCGCCGATCCTCACGCGGAGGGTAAAACCCTGTGGGACAAAACCCCTCCGCGGTCGGCAGTCTTCAGAGTGGACCCCCCCCTCCCCAGCCTCCCCTGTTCGTTTGTCGCACCCCCCCCACCCCCGCTCCCCATCGGTGACTCGCGCAGGACACGGACCCTCGGGGTGGGGGGGGAGGGGTCCCCCAGAGAGGGGGCTTTGGGGCCTTGTTGAGTCAATCTCCCCCCCAGAGGGGCCTCGCGTTGGGTCGATCTCGGGTCGATCTCGGGTCGATCTCGGGTCGATCTCGGGTCGATCTCGGCCACCGCGGTCGAGTAGCCTGGGGGGAGTCAGCCAAATGCCTGGAGGGAGCATCTTGATGCCTGCAGGGAGCCAGCTTGATGCCTGGAGGGAGCCAGCTTGATGCCTGGAGGTGCCTGGAGGGAGACCGCTCGATGCCTTGGGGAGTCAGCTCCGGTGTCCTTTGGTTCCTCTCGGCGACGCCCAATGCGTGCGCCGGCAGTGGGGAGTGTGCGTGCGCGCGCGTGTGTGAGGTGTGGATTGTGGCAGACTGCTGCTGCTGCTGTGGGCCAGTGTGCTCTGTGTGCAGCGCTGCGCTGGCGTGTGACGCGCGCGTGCTGTGCGCGTGTGCGTGTTGGATGCGCGTGCGCGTCTGCGTGTGCTGCGCGCGCGCCGCCGGTGTGTGCTGTGTGCTGTACTCTGTTGTGCGCCTGTTTGTGCAGCTGGGAGGCGCAGCTTTGGCTGGCAGGGCTGCGCGGTGGGCTGCGGCGTGCTGCGGGTGGTCGTGCGCCTGTCTGATGGTGTGCGGCGGCTGCGCAGCCCGCTCGACCGGGCCGTCGGCGGCCCAGGGTGCGAGCATGCCAATGCGCGCTGCATGTGAGGCTGCTGCGCGGCTGGCGCGTATGTTTCCGTGCGGAGAGGGACGCGCGTATGTGTTCACGCTGCGGGCGCGGGCGGGCGTGGAGGGCGGCGCGGTCTCACCGCGGTCCGACGCCGGTTGGTCATCGGCGTGTCGAGGGCGGGCACGCAGCGTCGCAGGAGGCCTTGCCGCCATCGCGTTGCCGCGTAGGAAAAAAAAAACTGGTTCCGTGCGGAACGTTTTAAGGCGGCGACGCGGGAGACCGGTGCGCGGTCGCAGCGCTGCAGAGTTGCAGCACCACGACCGCATCGACTGAGCGCATCGGAATGCGCGAGAGGAGGGTGTGCGGGTGCATGCCCGGGCCGTGAGGGCTGGCTGAAGCGCCGCGTCGCTCGGGCGGCCGCCAGCATGCGACTTTGAGAGAAGCGGCCTCATTCACAACAAGAACCACCTTAAGGTGGCGTTATCCACACACGCGCGACGAGCCGAAGGTAAGGACACGCGTGGCCCCGTGGGCTCACGCGCACACGCCGTCGGGGCTGGTCGGGGCGGACTCTCGAGGACTCTCGAGACAGCTCGTCGCACGGTCGCTCGTTCTCCTGATTTTGTGGCTGATATGGCGTAGGTTCTCGCGGTCTTCGCGTCTCGGCGATCTCTCAGATCGTCAGATAAGCAAGAAACCAAGAACGAGAATAAACAACCAAAATCACACACACAAAACAAAGATTCACGGCCGCTCAGGGCGGCTCTGCGGTCTCGGCCAGTGTGGCGGCGAGGTCTACGAGCGTGCCGTTGCGCAGCCGGCAGCTCTCATCGCTGACGACGGCGCACGCCTGCTCCTCCACAGACGAGCCATCCACCTCGCCGGCGACGGCGACCCAAGCGCAGCTCTCCGGGTCGTCACAGGCCCAGCGCGGGTACGGCGCTCGCACGTCGAAGACCGTGTCGGCCATGAGGTAGACCAGCGGGCTGCATATGGCGATGGAGAGGCCCGTGGTGATCCCGCCGTTGACGACAAAGTCGGCGATGTCGAGGCGCTCGGTCGCAAAGATGACCGAGTTTGGCGCCGTGGCGGCTGGGAGCACAAAGGCGAAGCTGCACGCGATGGTGGTGGGCAGCAGCAGCAGCAGCGGGTTGGTGAGCTTGGCCTTTGCGACGGCGTTGAGCAGCGGGAGGAGCGTGTTTGCGGTGGCGGTGTTTGAGGTGAGCTGTGTGAGGAGCGAGACGGCGGCGACGATCGTGATGACGAGCGGCAAATCCGTGAGGCCCGACAGCGCCTCGGCGAGCGAGCCTCCGAGAGCGGTGGTGAGGCCCGACGCCTCGCACCCCGCGGCGATGGCAAAGCCGGCGCCTACTCCCGGGTATAATCTCGGGTAGACTCTCGGGTGATCTCGGCGAGGCGATGGCAGAGCCGGCGCCGAGGAGGAGGAGGATGCCCCACGGGAGGTGTTGCTGCGCGACGCTCCAGGTGAGCACGCTCTCGCCGGGCCGCTCCGACGAGGGGACGACGAAGAGGAGGACCGCCGCGCCGCAAGCTGTCGCCGAATCTCCGAGGCCGGGGCCAAAGACGGGCTCGAGCAAGTACGGCCGCGAGACCCACAGGAAGACCTGCAAGGCCAGCGCGCCCGCGGCGACGACCTCGTCACGAGAGGTCGGGCCGAGGCCCTGCAGCCTGCGTGGGGAACGCGCCAGCCTCAGGGCGGGAGTACGGTCTTGTGCAGTGTCTTCAGAGCACCGCGCGACTATGAGGGAGGCGAGGACAATGGTACCAGTTGATACGGCCGAATGCGGCTGAGTGCGTGTCCTCTCTCGCGGGCTGGAAGACACGAGCACGTCTTCCGCTTCTAGGTCCTCGAGCTGCGCGCGCAGCGACTGCTCGTCGAGCGAGAGGCGGACGCCTACGCTGTGCACACGCCAACCTCGGGGGGCGGTGATGTGCAGTGTACTCCAGAGCACCGCGTGGACACGAGGGAGGCGAAGACAGCGGAAGACAGCGGAATGCGGCTGAATGCGAATGCGGCTGAATACAGCGGAATACGTGCCCTCTCTCGAGCGCCAGTTGGAGTACATGAAGCTCGTAGTCCGCGTCTTCTAGAAGGGCGGTCGCCTCGCAGCACGCCAAAGTGCAGCACGGTCAGCGCGATGAGGAGAGTGCAACACGCGATCGGCGCCGCAAACAGGAACCAATTGGCGAACCCAACCTCACCGTGCAGCGAGGGCTGTCCGGCAAGGACGCCGTTTGGTGGCGTGCCGACGAGCGTGGCGATGCCGCCGCCGTTTGCCGCGAACGCGATGCCGAGCAGCACTGCCCGCTGCAGGCTCGCGGCCTACGGGACGTGTCACGGACGTGTCACGGACGTGGACATGCCGAGCAGCACCGCCCGCATGCAGGCTCGCGGCCTGGTGCTCCTCGCCGCGTGCGCGCGCCTGCTCCGCGGCCGTGTCGAGCAGGCCGGTGGCGAAGGGGACGAGCATCACGACCGTGGCCGTGTTTGAGCAGACGGACGAGAAGCAAAACGAGATGGCCGAGAAGGAGGCGAGCACGACAAACGGCCGCTCGACGCCGGTGCGGAGGAGGATGTTGAGGGCGAGGCGCTGGTGCAGCATCACGTGCTCGATGCCGACGTCGACGATGAAGGCGCCCACAAACATCATCTGCACCGGGCCCCAGTAGGCGGACGCGACCAGGCTGTGGTCCAGGATCCCAAACGCAGGGATGAGGAGCATCGGCAGCAGCGACGTGACGGGCAGCGGGAGGACCTCAAACATCCAAAAGACGGCGACGAGGGCGACAACGGCGAGCATCTCGTTGGCGAGCGGCTGCTCGGCAGAGAGCTCGACAAACTGCAGCCAGCCAAACAGGAGGAGACCCGACGCGGCGCCGATGGCGTGCGGCCGCGTGCAAAACGCCTCCGCCGGTGGCGGCTCCTGCTTGGGACCCTCGACGGCCGCGGCTTCGCCAGGCTGCGGCGGCGGTTCAGATGACGACGAGCGGGGAGGCGCCGACGGCAGCCTCGACAGCGAGTGCGACGAGGAGATGAGGCCTCCCATCGCCTCGAGGTCTCGCACCACCGCGTGCGCGCCGAGGACCGAGTCGTGTTTGTGGAAAACTGGCGCCGGCCGAAACTCCCGCAGGCGCGGCGCGGAGCCCTGGCGCATGTGCATCTCGATCAGCGAGAAGGACCGGCGGCCGAGCCCGGGAACGGCCGGCGATCTTTCAGGCGCGTGCCAGGTATTTCCCAGCAGAGCGAGGGTCGAGGGCGCCCTGGAGAAGGCTCGAACCGGCTCGCGCGGCCGGTCGGAGGAGGAGGAGGTGCACTCCATGCGGTCGCACGACACGATTCACGCGACAGGCGAGGCGCGGGCGACGGCTTCCTCAGAAGCCGTCGCCTCCACCACAGGAGCAGTCACACCACCACTCCCACTCGGCGCCCAACCACCCCCCACCCCGACATCCCCACCCCACCCGTGTGTCCAGCCGACCCTGACTGTTCTTCACCTTCCTACATACATACATACCCGTGTGTGTGTGCCCGGTGGGAGGCACCGAGGCGTCTAGGGCGCTCCACTCTACCTTAAGCTCCTGAGGGGCGCGTGGTTGTAACCACGTAGTAGGACTACAGCCCACCACAGACACACTCCCCACTCCTCACGTGTGCACACTCCCTCACCCTCTCCTCTCTCCTCTCTCTCTCTCTCCTCTCTCTCCTCTCCTTGTCTGTGCTGTCTGCCTGTCTCAGGCACTCAATCTGCCGATGCGTGATTGTGTGTGGGCTGCTCCGAGGGGGCCCTGTGCGATCCGACGGGTAGGGAGTCTGTGCCCGGGCGGTGTCCGGTGTGGAGTCCCCTTCTGATCCCACCTGTGATCCCACTCGTAACCAACTCTCAGGGGCAGTAGGTGGGCGAGCCTCGAGCTCGCTCATCTCGATCGTCAAGGCGTCGCTACGCGCGGTCTTCCGCGGGGGGAGCTTCGTCGACGGGTGCGGGACCGCGGCGCGGCTGGTGCTGCGGCGATGCCTCCGGCTGCTGCGGCGAGTGGCTTGCTGCTCGCTGCGATTGCGAAAAACTCTCGTCTCGTCGCACACCAAGAGCTTACGCTTAGTCGAGACTTGAGGCGCTTGCGCCCAGGAGGGGAGGGCGCATGCGTAACGACGCTGCTAGAGATGCGTTTCGGGGCCCAGAGATAAAACTTCTGATGCCATGCGTGACCTAGTAGTGTCCCCAGCTATGGGCGTGTCCACGTTGGAGCCAGGTGTGGTGTGGGCGCGAGAATAGCTCCGCCGTTCATGGAGGCAACCGATGCGAGTCGACTGTATCGGGTGCTCGGATAGCTGCTGGTAGGGTGCCGCCGACTCCATTTGAAGCGTGCCAGCCTGGCGCAAGCGCACGCGCTCACTAAACGATGAATGTTGCACCTTCCGGCGACTTCGCTCTGATTCGCTCGACTTTCTTTTTACCGCGTCGCTCGCGGGTGCTGTCTACCTACCTGCGTTAGGTGATGGTCAATCCAAGACAGACGTTCTCAGAAAGAAAGAAAACGGATACCGAATAATCCTCATCGCAAACCCGGTCAGCAGTCAGTCCACTTTCGTTCGTTCGCAGCGCGCAGCGCGAGAGTCGTATCACGTACGTTCGTATGTTGGTTCGTAAGCCACGGACCGCCAACTGCTCCGTTCTTTATTTATTGTACATTCTTCATTTCGGGGTAAAATTCTTGGCATTCAACCGAAGAACCCTAATAATCCGACGTTTCATGGAAGTAAGTCGTTGGATGTTTGCAAAATATCCGTTCCACTTCTCTGTCGCGTCAGTCATGGTCGATTGCACGGACACGCTGTTTACCCCGGGCAAGCTGGGCGAACTGCCGCTCAAGAATCGCATAATCTACCCTGCGATGACGCGAGGACGCTGCGGTGGGCGTTTGGCCGGGAGCGAGAACATCAAGTATTACGCGGCGCGAGCAGGCACGCTTCATCATCTGCCGACATCCAGATTGGACGGGACGGCAGCTGTTGACACTCCCTCCCCTCCTCCGACCTTTCAGGCGCAGGCCTCATCGTCACCGAGCCGTCCGCCGTCAGCGAGGGCGCGAATGGGTACTGCGACTCGCCTGGGCTCTACACGGCGGAGCAGAGCTCGGCATGGGCCGCAGTCACCTCGAAGCTACATGACGAAGGCTGCACGGTGGTGGCGCAGCTCTGGCACACGGGCAGAATGTCACACTCCTCGTTCCACGGCGGAGCTACGACTGTGAGCGCGTCGGCACTGCCCATCATCACTTCGGGCAGCGTGCCGGCGTGCGGGGTAATGGGAGCGGACGGCAACTGGAAGGACCACGAGACGCCTCGCGCTCTCACGACGGCCGAGGTGGGCGGCATCGTCGAGGACTTTGGCCGCGCGGCGAACTTCGCCAAGACGGCCGGCTTTGACGGCGTCGAGATCCACGCGGCGACAGGCTACCTCGTCGACACCTTCTTGCAGTCTTGCTCCAACCAGAGGACCGACAAATACGGAGTCGGCGTCGACGGGCGCTTCAAAATTTTGGAGGAGATTGTGCGCTGCGTCTCGCGCGTGTACCCCACCTCGCGTATCGGAGTCAAGCTCGCGCCCAACTCGGGGTTCAATGGGATGGGTTCGGAGGATAACGCGAAAAACTTCTTACACTACGCCGCGCGCCTCTCTGAGCTAGGTGTGGGTTACCTCCACGTGCAGGTGGGATCGAGAGTTGCGCGACAGCTGAGAGGACCTTACACGTCTCGCGATATTACAGTGCTTCCTCTCCGCTAGGACGGCGTCGGCACCAACAGGGAGGCGACGTGGTTCGGCAAGGTGGACACGCATGGTTTCCACGGGAAGTGCCCGCCAGTGACCCTCAAGCAACTCAAGGCGGTGTTTCGGGGCGGGATCGTGGGGAACGGCGGCTACAGCGGAGAGACAGCCGCGGAGGCGGTCGCCGCCGGCGACGCGACCGCTATCTCATTCGGCCGGGCATATATGGCGAACCCAGTGCTCAACGCCCCTCTGAGCTACAGCAGCCGAGCCGCCGCTCTGCTGACGCTGCTGCCGCTGCCTTACTTTAGGACCTGGCGTCGCTGATCCGGCGCAAGGCGCCCCTCAAGCCGCTGCCGCCGAAGGAGGCCTGGTTTGAGCCGAGTGAAAAGTATCGCGAGGATCCAAGCTGGGGGTACACCGACTCGCTGCCAGTCTCACCCACGTCCTCCGACTACGAGCACTAGGCTGCTCGGCCGTCGATGTTCTCTCGCCGCCGCACTTTACCCGTCTCATCCGTGCACACACGCTGTCTGGGACCGTCTTCCCGCCCCCTAGACCGCGCGTGTGGCGACGCCTTCCGCCTTGTCGATCGAGATTTTGAGCGTGCTTGAAGCTCGCCCACATACTGCCCCTGGCTCCCGTGGTGTACCTGTGTTAGTGCCAGTGCGCGCCAGTCCCGTAAGAATTTAAACAAAACAACTCTCGCTCACAGCAGACAGGCTCGACACAGGTGCGAACTGGCGCGTGCTAGCACTATCACAGGCACACCACTGGAGCCGCCTAAGCGACTCCGTTAAGAACGGCAATGCACTTAGCTCCGTGCACAATGCCGCTCTCCCCGCACGCTAGCTCGTTCACCGTCTGCGAGGTAGGTAGGTAGAAAGGTGAAGAACAGCCAGGCTCGGACTGGACACCAACGCGGTATGGGTGGACGCTGGACAGATGATGACGACACGCACGAGCGACACACAGACACAAACAGGCTCACAAGACACACAGCCAGCTGGCTGCCACACACCCTGAGTCGGCGTACACATAACTCAGGGCCACATCCTCCCTGTCGCCCCCCCCAGCACTCCACGGTGCCAAGGGCACAAACAAGGGCACAACTCAAACAACAGACGACAGTAAGTGACATGTGAGGCTAGAGCAGCTTGCTCGACCTCTAGCAATCTCACCGGCCTGCGAGGCACGGACGAGACCGTATGTGGGGTCTAGTGAGGTGTCTATGGACGCTCTCCTCATGGGCTAGCTGCCTGCGGCTAGCCCTTCTCGCGACGCCACGGCGGTCCCGGGAAAAAAGGAAAAAGAAAACAGACACCCCAAAACAGCCAAACCTGGGCGCTTGCTGAGTGCACCCCCAAACCAACACTGGCACTTGAGAGGTGAGCTCGGCCCTCTCGCCAGCCCAGACGCCTGCCCGCCAGCAGCCCGCTGGTCGCCCGCGCTCCCGCCCTGGATCTCGTACCATTATGCGGGACGGGCCTCCCCCCAACCGAATCCGCCCGAGCGTGCGCCGCTGCCTCCTCCTCCACCGCCTCCTCCTTCTCCTCCTCCGCCGTCGCCGCCGTCGCACCCTCCTGGCTCAGCTCTCCTCCTCCACCGTCGCCGCCACCGTACCCTCCCCTCCCGGCTCGGCATCCCCACCACCTTGACCGCCTTCTTTCCCTGGAGGCGCGCGCGCGACCCACACCTTTGCGCAAACCCGCACAGGAGATGCCTCTGGGGCTGTGGCTCGCGGGCGCGGTCCTCGGCTTCGGCTCGACTCCGGAGGGCTCGCCGTCGCCGCCCCCGTCGGCCTCGCCCCTCCTGCCCCCGTCGGCGTCGCCCCACCCATCCCCGTCGGCCTCACCCCTCCCGCCGCCATCGGCCTCACCGCTCCCGCCCCCCTCTGCCTCGCCCCTTCCGCCGCCGTCGGCATCGCCCCTTCCGCCGCCGTTGGCTATTTCTCCATTCCGTCGTCCATAATGTCTCCGCTCATTTTTTTTTATCTTATTCTGTTCACCCTACTATTTATTTTTTTCACATTCCTTTGTCGCTTATTCTGATTATTTCTATTCTCTCAACCTTACTCGGCATCTAGACTATTTAGAGACTCTCAGGTCATTACATCGTTCGTACACCACACTTCCTCATATATTTCT